TTCAACCCAAAACATGAGGATAGCAAATAGTTTTCAATCAAATACGCTGTTATACAGTCATACGGGATGGACTGAGTCACAATCCCCAATAGTGCACAACCCCACGCTCGTCATCTAGCGTATGCGTCACCTCAAATGCATCACAACGATGTGGAATCCGGGGTTTCATGCCCTCAGGACAATATTTACAATCATTACTTACCTCTATCCGGTCCAAACTCTAGCCCGCGATGTCTTTGCCTCTCGACTCGGCCTCCGGATGCTCCAAATCTAACCAAAATCAGTATATAATCATCAAAATACACTAAGAGAACAATGCCCACTCGAAAATAATTAAATTACTACACAAATCCCGAAATTTACCAAACCCGACCCCGGGCCCAAGCCTCGGAATTCGATAAAAATTACATCAATAAACTCCTTATCCTCCTATGAGTTCATTCATATCAAAAGTACCAAAATTCGCCCACAAATGACCCCTCAAATCCTTAATCAAAGGTATCCAATCTCAAGCCCTAGTTTCTTCAATATTTACCCACAAATTTCCATAAATTTCAAGCCTAATCAATGAAATAACACCATAGGGACGAGTTTTATGGTGAAATTTTTTACCTCAATGAAGTTCCCTTGGATTCCCTCTTCAAAATCCCCCCAAAAGCTCTAAAATCGATTTAAAATGGTGAAGAAAGGTTGAAAATCGCGAAGGAGGGTTTATATAATTTCTGGCCCAAACTTCTTGCACCTGCGGTCCCTATACTGCACCTGCGGTAATGCATCTGCGGCCAGAGCACCACATCTACGGTTTTCACTTAAAAATCCAAGTTCCGCATCTGCGATAAAACACCCGCACCTGTGCTATCGCAAGTGCGCTCAAATAGATGCTTATGCGGTTCCAGCTCCCCATGGCCAATTCCGCATTTGCGACCCTCTGGGCGTTTCTGCGAGCCCGCATCTGCGGTTCCCAAGCCGTAGGTGCGGTTATGACAGCAATAGAAAACTTCAGCTATCAAACCCAACTCAAAATCTCCCGTTAACCACCCAAAATCACCCCGAGGCCCCCGGGACCTCAACCAAAAGCATGAACAAGTCATATACCACTATCCAAACTTATATCAATCTTCAAAACACCTCAGACAACATCAAATCAACCAAATAACGCCGGATTCAAGCCTAAGGTTCCAAACATCTTTCGAATTTTGCTTTTGATCAAAAAGTCTATCAAACCACGTTCGAATGACCTAAAATTTTGCAAACACATCCCAAATGACACAATAGGCCTACTGCAACTCCCGGAATTCCATTCTGACCCCTATATCAAAATTTCACCTATCAATCAGAAAACGCCAAAATTTCGATTTTCGTCAATTCAAGCCTAAATCTACTCCAGACCTCCAAAACACATTCTGATCACGCTCCTAAGTCCCAAATAACCTCCTGAAGCTATTTGAACCATCGGAATTCATATCCGAGCCTTTTTTCACATAAGTCAACATCCAGTTGATTTTTCCAACTTAAGCTTACTCAAAAGACACTAAGTGTTTCAAACCTTACCAAAACCTCTCCGAACCCGAGCCAACCAACCCGATAACACATAATACAGCTGAACAAGACAATAAGAAGCAGAAATGGGGAAAACGAAGCGATAACTCATGAAATGACCGGTCAGGTCGTTACACAATTCAACCAACTATAGACTTTTCGAATGAAAACAAAAGGGAAAGAACAATGTTGCAGTCGGGATTCGAACTTGTGTGTGTGAGTATGAAAGGGAGAGAAATTGGATATTTGATCAACCAACGGGTCTATGGTCATTTTTGGTTGGATTCAATATTAGTAATACCTTTATTATGTGAGTTGCATCAATATTTCAAATACCTCTCTTTGTTAGAATACAACGTAAATAATCCAAATTCGTGGGGAGAGATAACAACAATAATGTAGTAGCTAAAATGCCATTAAAATCAAACAAATACTATAAGAAAAAATTATTATATTTAAGTTTCATAAATCATTAAACACCAAAGTTTATAACAAACAAGAAAAATTTCTTCACAATGTTCTGGACCAAATAAAATAACAATGCAATTAGGCCTACTGAGAACTCTAAGTTTCGGCAATATTCTTTATTATAGTTCCAAGTCTGGTTCGGCATTTAGATCAAACAAGCTTGATTGCGATTATGTAGTGTCAATTTGCGGCAATTAAAATCAAACAAACACTACAAGAAATGATGATATGTTTAAGTTAAGTAATAAATCAAATGTAGTCGCAAAATTATACCTCATTCATACCTAGGGAAGCATCATGCTCAATGTTTGTACCTCTGCCTTGCCCATTACCCCTACCCCTGCGTCCACCACTTCTACCGGCACCTCTACCACCATGTGCCACCAATCCTGCTGCCACCCCTGCCACACCCTCTAACACCAGTTCTTGCATCATTACTAGCTCCAAATACACCACGCGGTTGTGAACTTGTAAAGTAGTATTCAATTCTTTCTCTATATCGATTCAAACGCGGCCTGCCACGTGAATTAGTGTACTAGGGATCTCGTAGATTTGTGCCTTCAATTTTATCTGAGCCATCCTGGTCGGGGTTTTGCACGATCATTTCGTCGTCCCAGTTTTGAAGATCATGCACCATCTTCTTCAAATTATGCTTAACTTATTGAACCTTCACGCTAGTGCCCAGTGCTATATCACAAGCCATGTCAAAACACTTCAACATGCTCCTGTATGTCTTGTACTCAGGAGTCATGTTTGGGTAACCAACTTGATGGAATCGATTCAAGTGTGGCCTAGTAACATCGCTTCTCCACCTTGTTAGTATATACCTTTCATCAATTTTATCAATCTTCTTGTGCAACAAGATCTTGAGTATATGGCAATAAAGTATCCCTCTAGACTCATACCATTTACAGTTGCAACTAAAATAATCACCGATAGGTATATATTCAACAGTGTACTCAACTGGATTTCCATCATTTTTCTTTATAACTGAATAATCACTAACGATGATTTTCTCAACACCAGGGACAACTTGATGATCATCAGGGCTGCTGACTTCACAATGATATAATTTCCTTAGTTGTGTCTTGAAAAATTCATACATTGTACGCGTATAACACCGAATTGCCTGCTCCTCCCACTTGAACATTTACTCGCATACAATTTGAAAGCCCTTTGACCTGTATTCTGCTTCCAACTCTTTCTCATGCTTAGCTCTTATAGCTAACTCATACTGGTGAACAAACATTCTAAGAGTGCTTTGACGAGTAATATATCTATCATAGAACACATGCATCCCCTCACTTCTTTGTGTAGATAGCATACCAGCCCAAAAATACACATCAAAGTACATAGGAACCTATTTTTCCTTATCAGAGTAAAGCTTGTTGAACCAATTCCTTGTATGCAAATTATACCTTGCAATATATTCTGTCCATTTTCTCTTAAAAATTTCAACAGTAATGCTATCAAGGACCATGGATTTAAATTCTCCACGTGCAATTTTAGAAGGACAAACACTGATGATCGGCTATAATTACATATTTTAGTCACTTATTACGCTCTAATTTACTGCACCTTAGTTGAGTTTGCGCTTTAATCGCTATTATTTTGCACTAATTGTGTGTTTTATGCCTTGTAGGAGTGATTCCGAGTTGTGTAGATGTTATGGAATGAGTTCAAGAGATTTGAAGGTTTGAAGTCTGAGTAAAAGCCCAAAGAATTAAGCTAGGATCGTATTCGGGGATCAACGGATGATAAAGCAACGAAACAAAGAATCGAGTAGGCATATTACACACTGTCTAGTAAGATACACATAACTTTTCCCTCAGAACTTCATTTAGGCTATATAATATATGGTTGGAAAGCTAACTCAAAGTGATACAACTTTTATGTTTTAAGTTTTTCTAAATTCTAAAGTTAACATGGTGAAAAATGCGTTCGAAACCGCAACCGCGGACCTGGACGCGGACTAAGGCAGTGCACTGGGAAAATACTACGCCCGGACAGCAACCGCTAGCGTCCAGACCTGAAATATTGTCCTTTTTTGCGTAGGAGAAGGTATAATTATTTGGGCCCGACCCTACTTGGTATATATACATGGAAAAATGGTATTTTAAGAGGTTAGACATACTTTTGACACAGATTCGACCTAAGGAAGCAGAGACATAATAGGAGCAAGGCGGGGAATTCTTCTACGAGTTTTTCTTTCTTCTTCCTATTTTTCATTGTTGGTTATGAATTTTAGTATTGTAGTTTTACATACTATTATGAATAGCTAATTTGTTATCTAGGGTTTTGATGGAACCTTTTGTAGGATAAATTCTTGTTATGTTTTTATATAGTTGAGCCGTTGGATTTCTATACTTGTTCAACTACGTGTTTATTGTTGTTGATTGAATGGCCATCGATTGACTGTGCCTATTTATTATGTGTTGCTTGAGAAATGATACATATTTAGGTGGTTGTTGAACAACATCACTCCTAACGTATGTGAGAAACCAATATAGTGGGTTTAAATGCAGGTTTAGAAATAACAAGGCCTTAACGTGGTCATAGTGAGCAGTTAGATAAAGCCAACTAGCATAGTTCGAGAGAATATGTCTAGTAAATTATTGTAGTTGATCGAAAGAGAATTACGGCACCTAAAGTGCTCACGATCGGTAGAGAATACATTGGTAAAATTGTAGGGAACATAGCTAGAAGGATTCCGGCAATTGGGGAAATCATAACTCTAGACCTCCTTAATTTAGTCTCCAACCCTTTGTCTCGTTAGTTGATAATTTTACTGCTTTCTAGTATTTGCTAGTTAATTAGTTAGAAATATAAATCTCAATCTTTATAACTTAGAAAATTATTCAAACTTATCTTTTTAGTGATATTAAACAGATATAGCTAAGCCTTAGTTCTCTGTGGGATTCGACTCCGGACTTTTAGACCGGATTATATTTGCAGCGATCACTTATCCCTTTTAGGACTAGAATTGGGCGTGATCAAAAACCACTAAAGTAAAGAGGCAACTTTGAGAATATATGCCAAATTGACATCACTTCAGCAATGGCTACCTTAATGCTCTGACACTGATCAGTTATGATCGTATCTGGATGAACATTTCCCATGGCATCAAGCCAAGTTCTAAAAACTAATTTGTAACTATCGATATCTTCATGAGACATGAGAGCACATCTTAGTAAGATGGACTGTCTATGGTGATTGATGCCAACAAATGTAGCACATGGCATATTATATCGATTCATAAGGTACGTCGTATCAAAACATATCGCATCATAGAATTTCTCATACGTTATCTTACAGTGTGAATGCACCCATACCATATTTTGCAACCTACCAATATTATCAATGTCGATTGAATAGAAAAACTCCCTATCCTTTACCTGGATTTCACGAAAAAAGTTGAGCAGCGGCTGTGCGTCCCCTTCTTGCACTTCAAAATTCCTACTCTTCAAAATAAAGTTTCTACAATCCTTTGGAGTGAAACCTAAATTTTGCGGTCCACCACGTTGAACCTCAGCAAGTCTAATATTCTTGGAGGGTCTAATGCCAGATCGATCGTGAGCTACAAGATCCCTCTTCAAAGAATCACAAACGGACCTATGTACAACCATCAGGCGCGATATGGATGGGAGCAAATCATGATTGTGATCCTGAACGACCTTAGAGACGCGCCAACAACCAGAATCATCCAAAACAGTAGCTAGCCTAGCTTTATAATTGTTACTCTTGGTGGTAAACTTGGTTTTGTGAATCCTAGCCTTATCACAACTATAAGTTATGTACCTGGCAGTGTCACCACCCTTCTTGTTGGAATTTATTTAGATGACGGAGAATCCTTTCAGTCGTACATGTTCTTTGTAGAATGCAAACAAAGTATCTTTATCTCTAAATTGGATTCCAGAGATTGGACCAATAACCACATCCTCTTCACTGAATTCATTCTCCATTTTTCGATCAACATCACATAACTCTAACTCATTTCCTAAAACCTGCTCCTCATCATCGTTAGCTTCTCCATGATATTCTCTATCGGCTTCTTCTTCATCATCATCATCTAAGTGCACAACATTGTTGAAACTGCTGCGAGAATCAACATCGGCTCATTCGTATTCATCAACAAACTATCGCCCGATGTCATCCTTAAAGATCTGTACAACTCGTCCCTAACTCGATCAAACCGATTATCTTGGTTGATATTCATGGTTGTTGTATTTGTGTTATGTTCATTTGGATTCATATTTTGTTGCACCGCAAAATTTTCTTGGTTTGAATCCATTTTTAGAGAAGGAGAAAGTGTCCGCTGGTTTAGGGTTTGATAAGGAGGAGTATACAAAATGGTATACCGTATTTGTTTTTAAGAAAGGAAGAAAATATAATAATTTGTTAAAAATTAAAAAACGTATAATTTGTATAAAATACACATAAATACAAATATAATACACAAGATTCTTCATCTCCCAACATTTAATTTTCGCATACTTCAAGGCTTGGAATTTAATTTTGTGTTTTGGAAGGAAAAATGTAAGCTAATCAGTTAGGGGGTCTTTGATGTCTTTTCACTGGTGTAGCCAAGGTTGGGTGACACCAGTTGGGCCGTTTAGCATCACCCAAAAATTTATTAGTTTGGGATGGAGTGTTGGAGAAAGTTGTGGAAATCGAAGTAATAGTAGGAGGCCTAAGGTCAATGTTATTAGATTTAAATACAAGCTTTTGAGTTTTAATGAACTTACCTGATGTTGACTCAAAAATGTTAGTAATATTAATACATGTGTTCTGTGAGCGTGGAGAAGTAGGCATAGTAGCTAGGGGGCAAGTTTCTGTTTTCCTTGCCTCCTTTTCTTTGCAAAGAAACCGTTTAATTTGCCATTCCTCCTCTTGGCTTTTATCCATGAGTTGTTGCTTGGCATGATCGATGTCCTGCTTTAAAACTTGATTGGGTGGTGGTACATTATGGGGCAGTGTTGTAAGGTGTGACCTAACCGGCCACAACTCTTGCACATAAAATTATCCCCTTCATAGACAATCTCTTGAATATGTGTTCCTATACAGGGATGATTCCACAGGAGTATCTATCGGTACTTCAATACAGAGACGAGTGTATCTCCCCCCTCAAGATAGAGCTAGTGCATGCATCCACTTTTAGTAGCCGTCCCAATGAGTTGCTGATCCTTTTTAAGATAGCACCTTATGTTGGCAATTGGGAGAGTTGAATCCAAATAGCAGTGTGGCATCTGTTTAGCTTTCCCTATCACAAAGTTGGGTTCCCATTTTCTTAGTGATAGATATAGTATCCATTAATGAACCATGGAGCATTTTGCAGAGTTTTAACCATGTTTTCTGCTTTTATGAACTTGACAATGAAGTAGTCATCGCCCATATCAATTAGCAGGAAGTGCTCTAATGCTCTCCAGAGGAGCTGTACTTTAATCTTTAAGTATTGATGGAGAAATCATTTACCAATCACCTTAATTATAAGAGAGTATTTCCATACGCAGTTTATACTCCTGTGTAAGGGAGATATACGTAATGGATGTATTCACCTGGGGCTCGTTCTCAAATGTGGACTCTTCAGCTTCATCTTCTATTATTTGTTGACGCTGGAAGGAGTCACTGACTAGGAGTGAGTTCTATCCTTAAATGACATTGGGGTTGTGTATGTAGTGTTGTGGCAAGTAATATCTGTGTTAGGACCCGGTGGCACTAAATACTACTGCACAGCGGAATAAAATAAATGATCAACGAAACCAAAAATAAATGACACAATATTTAACGTGGTTCACCTAAAACGTTTAGGCTACGTCCACAAATCCGACACCAACTTCCACTAAAACATTTAGCAGGCATACAAAGAGAGACTTCCCCAATAATTTGGAGGTACAACAATTCCTGAGCTCTACCCAAAATAGTGGCGCACACAAAAGTGTTTCCCGAAAAATACCCGACTAGTATTTCTACTCACTATTTTGTCACTCCCCTGTTAGGAAACATTCCTAAAGGAACTATATCTCTCTCCCTCTCAAACTCTTTCTTCTTGAGTTTTGATATATTTTTTTTTTGGTGTGTTATACAATGAAATGGAAGGGGGTATTTATAGTTTTGAGATAGGGACCAAAAGTGCAAATCTCACCTACCAAGAAGGATCAATTTGCAATATTCCCATCTCACCTACCACTCATTGCATCATTGCTTATCTCACTAAGGAGAGTTGCATCATTGCTTACCTCTCCCATACATCACCATAATTGTTGGAAAAACTAACAATTCTCCCCCTTCCAACTATATGGTGGATCCACTATCCCTGCAGCTTCTCTACAGAACTCAAACTTCCCTTTCGGTAAAGTCTTGGTCAACATGTCCGATCCATTTTCGTCTGTATGGATCTTTTCAAGCCGCAACATCCTCTTCTCCAACACATCCCTGATCCAATTATATCTCACATCAATATGTTTGGATCTGGAATGGAATGAGGCATTCTTCGCAAGGTGGATAGCACTTTGACTATCACAAAATAACTGATAACCGTCTTGCGAAAATCCAAGTTCAGTTAAGAACTTCTTCATCCATATCAATTCTTTGCAAGCCTCCGTTGCTGCGATGAATTCAGCTTCAGTAGTTGATAATGCAACACATTTTTGCAACTTTGATTGCCATGACACAGCTCCCCCTGAAAAGTTAATCAAGTATCCTGAAGTTGATTTTCTAGAATCAACATCTCCGGCCATATCTGCATCAGTATAGCCAACCAACACAGGGTTGTCTTCTCCAAAACATAAGCATAGTTTGGAGGTTCCTCGAAGATACCTGAGAATCCACTTAACAGCATCCCAATGTTCCTTTCCTGGATTAGAAAGAAATCTACTTACCACTCCTACAGCGTGAGCGATATCTGGCCGTGTACAAACCATGGCATACATCAAACTTCCTACTGCTGAAGCATATGGAATCCGCTCCATCTTTCTTCTCTCATCATCTGTTGACCGGCTTTGCTTGGTGCTCAATCTAAAATGGTTAGCAAGAGGACAGCTAACTGCTTTAGTTTTCTCCATGTTGAACCGTTGAAGTACCTTCTCGATGTACTTCTCCTGAGACAACCATAACTTCTTGGCTTCTCGGTCTCGCATAATCCTCATCCCAAGGATCTGTTTTGCTAGCCCCAAGTCTTTCATGGCGAAGAACTTGCTTAGCTGTTCTTTTAAGCTATTAATTTTGGAAACATTCCGGCCAACAATTAACATATCATCCACATAGAGCAATAGGATGATGAAATCATCGTTAGAAAACTTCTGAGCGAACACACAATGGTCTGAAGTTGTCTTCTTGTAGCCGTGTTGCCCCATCACCGACTCGAACTTCTTGTACCACTGCCTTGGTGCCTGTTTTAAGCCATAGAGGCTTTTCCTCAATCTACAAACACAGTCCTCTTTTCCTTTTTGCTGGAAACCGTCTGGTTGCTCCATGTATATCTCCTCTTCCAAATCACCATGTAGGAAGGCGGTTTTTACATCCATCTGCTCAACCTCCAGGTTGAGGCTTGCTGCTAATCCCAGCACCGTGCGTATTGAGGTCATTTTCACAACTGGTGAGAATATTTCATCAAAGTCAATGCCTTTCCTTTGATTGAAACCTTTGACGACCAATCTTGCTTTGAATCTCGGAAGGGAATTGTGTTCATCATGCTTCATCTTGAACACCCACTTATTCTTCAAAGCTCTCTTGCCTTTCGGCAACTTCACCAGCTCAAACGTCTTGTTCTCATGCAAGGATTTCATCTCGTCTTGCATGGCTTCTATCCACTTCTCCTTATGTTCATCATCAATAGCTTCTTCAAAGCTGTCGGGTTCTCCCCCGTCAGTGAGTAACACATACTCATGTGGAGAATATCTGGTAGACTGTTGCACAACTCTTCCAGATCTTGTGTGATAAGGAGGGTTATTGAGGATTGGTGGTTGAGGTTGATCCTCCTCGTCTGCATCATCATCACCATTGTCCTCGTTACCTTCAGTATCTGCTGGTTCATCTTCATTAGGAAGATCAGGGGCTTCAGGTTGATTATCCTGAACATCATCTCCAACTTGTCTCGGCACCACTGTTGGAGGCAACTCAAACTCAGCAGAATCATCAGTGGACTTCTCTACTTTGTCAATGTCTTCAATTGTTTGGTCCTCAACGAACACGACATCTCGACTCCTGACGAGCTTCTTCTGCACCGGATCATAGAACTTATAGCCAAGCATGTCTTGACCATAGCCGATGAATACACACTCCCTTGTCTTGACATCAAGTTTGCTCCTTTCATCTTTCGGAACATGGACATAGGCTTTGCAGCCAAATACCCGTAATTGATCATAAGAGATATCTCTTCCTGACCAAATCTTTTCTGGAGCCTCGTACTGAAGAGGGACACAGGGTGAATGGTTCAGCACATAGGCTGCTGTAACTAGAGCTTCACCCCAGAAAGCCTTTGGTAACTTTGAATGAGAGAGTAAACATCTGGTTCTCTCGATCAAAGTTCTGTTCATCCTCTCAGCCAAGCCATTCAACTGGGGAGTTTTAGGAGGTGTGAACTGATGTCGAATACCATGCTCTTTACAGTAAGCATCAAATTGACCCTGGTATTCACCGCCATTGTCTGTCCGGATGCACTTCAACTTCTTACCAGTCTCTCTTTCCACCAAGGTCAGAAACTGTTTGAAAACTTGAAACACTTGATCCTTGGTCTTCAGCGTGTATACCCATGTCTTTCGTGAATGATCATCAATAAAGGTCACGAAATATCGGGCACCACCGAGGGACTTCTTGAAAGGTCCACATACATCTGAGTGTACCAGATCCAACACATTTTGCCTTCTGGAAGGAGGGAATCTTTTGAACGAAACTCTGTTTTGTTTCCCAGCTAAACAGTCAGCACACTTCTTCAACTGGATCTGGTTTAGACCTGGTAAGGCGTTCTTCTTTACCAAACGCGCCATTGACTTCTCACTCATGTGGCCAAGACGTCTATGCCACAACTTGATATTGCTATCATTCTCCGCAACATTTATAACTTGTTGGGAGATGCTCGCCTGGGTCACGTACAACTTTGACTGCTTCGTGCCCCGCGCCACCACCAATGAGCCCTTCGTGAGCTTCCATTGGCCATTATGGAAGGTATTGCAGTAACCTTCCTCATCGAGCTTGTCTACGGAGATCAGATTCAGGCGCATATCTGGAACATGCCTGACATCTCTTAAAAGTAGCTTCATCCCATTCATGGTCTCTAGGCAAACATCACCTTTGCCTACAACTGTTGAGAAATTGGCATTTCCCATCTTTACACGACCAAAGTCTCCAGGTGTGTAAGATGAGAAGAGTTCTCTCCGTGGCGTCGCATGAATGGTAGCCCCACTATCAATCACCCAGGTCATCTCTTGGGTTGTCAGATTGATAATGTCGTCATCGTAGACAACGTTGAACTCACCAAAGGAGTTCGTTTCATCATCACTGCTTTCTTCGGGCTTCACCTTTTT